AAATCTGATATACGTGCAGTCATCTCGCGGCCATTACGCACCTAATGACGTATCATACGTAGCCTAATACCCTTTCCTCCTTGAGATATCCTCCGGACAGCCTGACGGAAGTTGCATACAAAGTGGCACACACCCACAGACACTATTGTTTTTATATATAGTAGGATTGTTCAAAACAATAAAAACGGCAAGATTGAATTAATCGGTGTAGCTTGCGGGATAGATTATTTCGAAACATTTTTTGTAATTTTTAAAATGACTCGTGGGTCTTAATAAAATTGCGGATTTACTTCTTGCGAGAAACAATTTTCTGAAGAAATATAAGGCAATAATGACCAAAGCCAACTTTTACGCTACAAGTACATTTAATAAAACACGTTTTTTCCGAAATGTTTCATGACCCGTCCTGTTCCTCAACAATCTCTGCTAGCCTGCCCTCTCCTCTTCCTCAATAATCTCTGCTAGCCTGCCCTCTCCTCTTCCTCAACAATCTCTGCTAGCCTGCCCTCTCCTCTTCCTCAACAATCTCTGCTAGCCTGCCCTCTCCTCTTCCTCAACAATCTCTGCTAGCCTGCCCTCTCCTCTTCCTCAACAATCTCTGCTAGCCTGCCCTCTCCTCTTCCTCAACAATCTCTGCTAGCCTGCCCTCTCCTCTTCCTCAACAATCTCTGCTAGCCTGCCCTCTCCTCTTCCTCAACAATCTCTGCTAGCCTGCCCTCTTCTCTTCCTCAACAATCTCTGCTAGCCTGCCCTCTCCTCTTCCTCAACAATCTCTGCTAGCCTGCCCAAGTGCCATTCCCTTTAAAACCAAAACCCACTCCATTCGCACGCAGACAAACTTTCATCTCGGAAAAGTGTTCTAAGCCGCCAAAATGAAAAATTCTTTTTTAAGTCGAGGCGGATAAGTCGGGGCCAAAAATTGCGGCCCACGATTGCGCAGTTGGGGTTGTTTTGATACCTCAAAATGGGACGGATTTGATGATTTCGGGAAAACGCGCGACCACCATGACCGCCCACACACGCTCTCTGTTCTAAGCAACGACCAAAATACCGTAACGCCCCCCTACGGCCCCGGAACGTGTATTTCTTGTTCTGCTACTTCTATTCAGTCAGAATTACGGTCTTCATGAAAGCTCCAAAGCAGTAAGAACTCGAAACATTATAACTTTCGATTTTCATAACCAGGTTCTAGTTTTATTTTTTAATTAAGGATTAGAAATTTTTGTGTTCATTAAACAAATTACTTTATCTTTATAGTTATTTTTTAAAGATGCAAATTTCATAAAGATGTTGTTTGATAATTGCTATTTTTAACTGAAATTTTAATTTTGCGAAGCAATGATGTACATTTTTGATGTCGAGCTTTCAGCGCTCTAATTTTGCTAATTTTTTATTTTTAGCTTGATAAATAAGCGTTGATTCGGTCCAACCTAATACTTATTTTTTTTTTGTTGAATTTTACTTACGAGTTTAGGAATCAACAATATGGAATTTACAAGAGGTCCAAAGCAATGAAAACGCGAAACATTATTTTTGACGTTTAAGGAAAGTAAAAGACAGCTTAGAAACATTTTCGCTATTTATGTAAGCCCCCCGTTAATGCAAAAGCACCGTAGCTCTAGTGTAGGGCACATTTTAATTTTTTATAAAATATTTCTCGTTTTCGAAAACAAAAATCTTTCCCCACAATTTCAATATCGCAAGTAAATTGTGTTTTGTTCCCCAGACTATTTTTTTGATTCTTGGTACCCAAGGCTACAAGCTAAGCCCGGCAAAAAAGATAAAAATTTGAAAGTCTGAGCCGCAGAAACTTTTCCAATTTTTTTATTGGAAAGATACCGGGGGGCGGGGATTAGCGCGGATTGCGTCGTCTGTTCGGAGGAGTGGACCGGAAAACGGGGCGGCTGACTGGCTGGCAGCAACCCGGAATGGGGCACGCTTTAAGAAACACAGCTCCTTCTGTTCCGGGCTGGGGGAGGGAAATTGGGTTACTTGGAATAAAATCCGGGAAAGACGCCCACAGTTTGCCAGAAATTGAGCTGAATTTTCTAAAGGTATGCTAAATGCGTCAAACTAGTCAAATTGATACGCTCATCCTACTAAATTTAGTTTAAAAGTAGAACCATTGAAGCTGCAACTTGAATTTTTAATTTTTTTTGGATTATTCTTGGCCTGTTTTTGATTAAGTTCGTGCAAAAAATAAAATAAAACAAATCGTGAAAATATGCTGCCATCGAACTTTGCTGCTTTTTCGAATTTTAACGTTTCGAAAACGTGGTCGCAGTGTATGTTGTAATTGAAGATTTTTTCCTGCTATTCAGTGTAGGAGGAAACATATTTTTTCCGGTGTCTATTTTCCTCTGGGGCTTTAGCAAAGGGCTATAACTCTGCATTTTTTAAACGCGGATAAAGAAGCTGGGCATTTTTTCTTACATCCAAAGTTCAATTTTGCCATTAGACTCGTGCATAATTGTTTACGTACTTTTTTGTAACAAGTCCCCCAAACCGGAAACATTTTTTTTAATCCACAAAGTTTAGCAACCTGCATGTTCAGCAATTTCTTTTGTTACAGTGTTCTTTGTGCCAATGTTCTTCGATTCGCTGTCGGGTGATCGAATCTTTGCAATTTTTCAGTTTTTATTCAATTTTCACCTGCACCACACGCCCTCACCTGGTTTCCGCGTTCACCCGCAAAACCCCGGGAATTTCTTGATCCTTGTGTTCTTTTTGATGAATGAGCTTGGAAAGCGTATATATTAGCTTAAATTCTGCAAAATTTTATCGAAGTATTACTTAATATACCATAAACTGGGTAATTTTGTCTCGATAGATGGTTTTTTACGAACGACATCCTCCTTCTCATATCGAATTTCTTAAAATCTCGGAGTTACTTTTTTCTTTGAAACATTCTAAAATCCAAAAAAAATTATTGTTGGCCTTTGCCTGGCTAATTTCCATCCAGTCTAGCAAAAAAACGTTGCACACAACCATCTCGATTTTTATGGTTTTTTGAAACATAAATTTTTGCGTGTTTAGGCGCGCTTGGCATTAGCCACCTAAACAATTTCAAAGTTTTCTTCATTCCGATTTTATCTATTATTTTATAGTTTTCATCTACCAAATCCTCTGGGTGCATTTTTTGTTTACGCATCAATATTGGGATTTGGGGTGGGGGAAGCGGGCCCAAATCTTTTTATACTTTTTTCCTAGCCATGGAGGGTTCATTTTTCGGGGTTGGGTCCTTCATTGGGACCAAACGGATTATAGGATGCTCCCCCGATACCGTAGAGCTTCCTGCAGCTGTTGATACGTGTGGATAACGTGCAGAAATGGCGCCCAAAAATTCTGCCTAAACAATCGTGTTTAAAAACATCTATATAAATTTATATAACTTTCTTTGCGATTTTGGTCAGTAAAAACAAAATACAGGGTGGCGATTAAGTATTTGCGCCTGTTTCAAGCACGTTTTTAGGAGCTAAATCGTAGTCGGCAGAAAAAACAAATAAGTCCATTTTTTAGAGAATTTTTTGCTATATCAATTGCAAGGTGAAAACAGGAAACCGCTTCACCACACAATTTTAATTTGTGTAAACATCTAAAACCGCGTTTTTTTGTATGGATTTTCTTCATTTTTGAGGAGCTCAGAAATTTTTTTGAAGAAGCTGGATACATTTCCCGATGTTTAATCGTGGAAAGAGCTATCTGAACTTGCTAGAAAAAATGGGTATGGGCAACACGGAGTCCTGAGTAGGGCACGGAAGCGAAAGTAAATTTTGGCAAAGCTCGAGGGCCGCGCATCCTGTCTCAGAGCGACTTATCGCAGAAGAATGCATTCTAAAAAATCGCACCTTTGAGGTATCTTTTTCGTTTTGCTATCAAAATGTAGGTAATTCTTGCGTCTCTTTACTAGCTACTTTAGCTAGAGCGAGAAAAGCTAAATTCTCCAGCCCATGATTTTTTAAGAGAGGAGCAAACGGGTCGCATAACCATGCATTTCATTCCATCGTTTTGTGCAAACATTTTGAGCTTTTTGAACGCCCTTAAGCCTTTCCGGACCGTTTGGATCGCTTAACCAAGTTCCCATCATGGAGAACATTTTCGACAAGTGATTGTAGAAATTTGAGACATTTTGTGTTTTTCTTGAAAAGGCCTCCCGCGCAGCTCAATTTTGGTGGTCGAGAAAACTACGAATAAATCTAGGATCCGATTAGAAATAATTTTTCTGTCTACTACGTTCGCTAAAGGGCATTGCAAAGAATATAAAGACCAGTTCTTATTTTGGCCAACGGAGATACTTAGGCAGAAAAGCCTAAACAAAGAGACGAGATACGCGCGGCCCTCGCTGATGTTTGGGCGCTTCTCTCAAAGGTCGTATCTTGAAAATTTTAGAATTAGGGCCGTAGATTTTTTGGTATCCGTAATTAGGTTATATTAGCTACATTATGGTCGTAAAATTATTTCCGAGACACGCTTCGGTCATTTTTTACGCTGCCTTTCCTGGCGCAAATACTTAATCGCCACCCTGTATGTAATCTATCAAACCGATTGTTTGCGAAAAATATGTTTTATAATTTTATCTAAACCCGAATTTTTTTGCTTCTCTAATCGAGCTTATAGGGATGCGGAAACCATCGATGCTTCACTACATCCTAAATACTACGAACTGTCGCCCGTTCATAGAAGTGGTACGGAATTTGGGACTTGAGGAAGAGGAGAGGGCAGGCTAGCAGAGATTGTTGAGGAAGAGGAGAGGGCAGGCTAGCAGAGATTGTTGAGGAAGAGGAGAGGGCAGGCTAGCAGAGATTGTTGAGGAAGAGGAGAGGGCAGGCTAGCAGAGATTGTTGAGGAAGAGGAGAGGGCAGGCTAGCAGAGATTGTTGAGGAAGAGGAGAGGGCAGGCTAGCAGAAAATTTTGGGGATATAAATACTCTCATCTTCCAGGAGCACGACCCATCGCTCGACTTCTGGGTGGTGCTCACCTTTGCCATCTTGTACTCCACAATGTTCGTGCTCGGCCTGGCCGGCAACGTGTCGGTCATCTACTGCACGCTGCGGAATCAACGGTTGCAATCCGTACAGGTGCTTGGCTTGCGCCGTTTTGAGCTTTGAAAATTTCAAATGTTTCAAATTCCATTAACTAAAGCGTAGTAAAGTTTTCACTAATAATTGCTCCATAATGCTGATCAAATTCATGGAATTTTGAGCAGCTGATTTCAGGGCCAATTATTAAATTATTCAGGAATTATTAAAATGTTTTTATTGCGTTAATAAAACAGGATTTTCCAGAACCTCTTCATCCTCAACCTCTCGGTAGCTGATCTGGCCATCTGCGTCTTTTCTCTGCCCTTAACACCCATCACGAACATCCTTAAAAATTGGCTATTTGGCGCCGAGATGTGCCATGGTCTGCCGTGGATTCAGGTATTCAACTTGTAGAATTTTATAGAATCGTTCGAAAAGATAAGAAAAAAACGCAAAAATTTCCGTGGAAATGTTTCACGAAAAATTAGGAGAAACGGGGGTGGAAGGGCAACAATGCGGCGTGGTTAGACGCGGATAAACCGAGTATATTTCACGAAATACCCTTGCATGGGAGTTTTATTAATCGACTTGGGCTTGGGCTTAGGCCTAGGCTTAGGCTTAGGATTAGGCTTAGGCTTAGGCTTAGGCTTAGGCTTAGGCTTAGGCTTAGGCTTAGGCTTAGGCTTAGGCTTAGGCTTAGGCTTAGGCTTAGGCTTAAGCCTCGGCTTAGGCTCAGGTTTAGCTTAGGCTTGGCTTAGGTTTGGCCTAAGCTTAGGTTTAGGCTTGGGGTTAGGCTTAGGCTTATGCTTAGACTTAGCCTCAGTTAAAGTTCCCAAAAATTCCATTTTTCCAGGGCGTGACCATCTTCATCGCGACGTTCAGCCTGACAGCGATCGCCATCGATCGATACTACATGATCTTAAAGCCGCATACGCCCGTCAGGAAATATGTAAGCAAAATCGTAGCATCCGTTGTTTATTGCAGAACACAAACAAAGTACGCGTGGCCTAGGCTTAGGCTTAGGTTTAGGCTTAGATTTAGGCTTAGGTTTATGCTTAGGCCTAGGCTTAGGCCTAGGCTTAGGCCTAGGCTTAGGCTTGGCTTATGCTTATGCTTGGCTTAGGCTTAGGCGGAGGTTGTGCTTAGGCTTAGGCTTAGGCTCAAGGTTTAGGCTTAGGCTCGGGCTCAGGCTTAAGAAGCACTCGCAGGCCGCAATAAGCTCCCACGCTTTCGCAGAGCGCTAGAATATTTTGGAACATTGATTTTTCAGAAAAAAATCAGTTTATTGCACTCAAAAAAGATTTTTGATTTTGCTCAGCACGCCTCATCTTTAATGTTATTTTAGGCGCGCGTCCGATTTTCATTTTTCTGAAACAATATTTTCCTAAAAATCCTTTAGTTCGCGAAACCGGTGATGTTCGTCATCTGGATCCTGTCGGCCATTTTCACCCTACCGTACGCCATGTATATGCAGGTTGACAAGGTCGGCAAAGTTTTGGCTTGTTTTCACATTAAAATTCTTAACTCACCTTTTGCTTTGAGAAAAATTATAAATTATATCGCCAAAACAAAAGCGCGTAAGTCAACCGAAGAATGGAATTAGAATCGATGAAAAAGTCTAAGTAAAACATTGAGCTGAAACACTTTTAAGTATTTAAAAGTGGTAGCTGATTTTTTTTAATATTCTAGCGTTTCAAAATTTGGAGGAGTTACAGGAGTTTGAGGAGTTCGAGGGATTTTTGTGGCATTAATCGAACAAGAATTATCGCTCCGAAAGTATTTTTTTGAAACATCAAAAAAATTGAATGGTAATAATGCTATCATAGATACGCTTAGTCATAGTACAAAAATTCAAATTTTGTTATCAATTTTGAGAATATCGTTTGATGAGCCAAAATCGCAAAATCAAAATTTCGTTGTGCCAATTTTAATGTCTCAAAAATTTCCTCAATAAATGGGCCAGTCGGGCAGTAAGATGTAGAATTTAACGGGCGTAACAGTTTACAAGTCGTTTCTTTAATGGAAAAATTACCTGCAATTTCTTCCTAAATCACTTTATTCTAATTATATATAAATATTAATTTTTAAATGGCAGAATTAAATTAAATTTATTTTAGGCCGAAGACTACTGTGGCTATTTTTGCACGGAGGCCTGGCCGAATCCGGAGCTCCAGAAGATCTATACGGTAATTTCTATTTATTGCTTTTTATGGATTTAACGTTGGTTTATTAATTATGATTAATCAATTTTATCTCAATTTATACAATTAATTAAGTAGTTAATTGAGTCCTTATAATTTGTATTTTTCAGGTTTTTGTCCTGTTCACCCAGTACATCGTCCCGTTCTCGGTGATCTTCTTCTGCTACTACCGTATCTTTGTGCAGCTGCGGATGCGAACACAGGAAAAGATACGGTAGGTGGAGCGTAAAAATATGTGCAAAAATCAACCGTATTATCACGCTGTCAAGCAGCCGCTTTTTAAAAAAGCCCTGAAACATACGATTTTTTTGCCAAATTGCCTTGCAAAATTCATTTTTGTCATTTTTTAATAAATTTTGAAACATTTGCTTTGCGTCAGCTTTAAGGCAGAATACGTACTTTGGAAATAGACTTACTTAAACTCATTAAATTTTACTCGTTGTAGAAACTTACAGTGTGATGTGTAAATTAGCAGTTCGAAAGAATTTTGCGGAAACAATTGCACTGAAACATGTCATTTTTTTTACTTGGCTTGAACATATAAAATTTTTTAGGGTTTTCAACAGCACTGAAAAACACTATTTTATTATTTGTCAGAAAAGGCAATGTGTTAGTGTTTTAATTTGTTAGTTTTAATTGGCTAGTTTCGATAATTTAAATTTAAATTCAAAGGGCATTTAATAAAAAAGCTTCTAAAACCTTAGAAAAATAAAGTTGATTAAGTGTTTCAAAAGAATGAGCAAGAGCGAAGCTACAATGACAAATTTTCCGGATTTTGCGAATACGAGTTCCGGCAAAACATGTAATTTTTTTGCCAGCGCGCATTAAATATATGGTTTTCATAATCTTATTCATAACTGTTAAATATGGAATTACGGATCCTATATTTTCATATATTTTATAAGACCTTGAAAAATTCCAGAAAATACAACGAGCGCTCGCTGGTGCTCTTCGCTTCAGCGGGGATCATGAGCGCCGTCGGGCACTCGATTCACGGAAAAGACATCCTCGCACAGGTAGTGTTTAGTCTGCTAGATTGATTTTACTGATCGGACTTAACAAAAGACGGCCTGAATTACCACGCTCATGCATGCAAACACACTGAGTAATTTTTTTAACATTCTCATTTATCGTTTATGGAGAAAAAATACCGCGTATTATGGTGCATGTACGTTTTTTTGACAAGCGTCTGCGTGAAACTTATTTTACGAAATAAACTAAATTAAATTAAATTAAATAATTATTCTTTCGTTATTATATTTATTTTATCAATACGTTTTTAGATCTCCAAAAAGACGTTCCTGATCGCGAGGGCGCGCAAAAACACGATCCTGCTCGTGTCGATGGTGTTCGTGTTCGGCTTCTGCTGGCTGCCCCAACATATCGTCGCCATGATCATCGACACGCAGGTGGGTAATAATGTAATAACATCATAATTGCTATTAAATATGTCTATTATTCATCATTAACATTGTAATTAATCTGATTTAATATAATTAACATTAAATACACTCTTAATTTAATTATTAATTACAAGATATTGAATTAGCAACAACAATGATTTTAAGATTAGAGATAGTTTAATAGAAATTTATATTAAAATAAATAGTTTTTAGATTGAAGAGAAATAATTGAAAACTGATCACCCCAGTGGTCAAAATATTACCAAATATGAAATTTTCGGTTGGAGGTTGAAGGCTGAAACAAATTTTTTTAAAGAAGCGGATCTTTCAAACTTTCTTAATCAGATCAATAAAATTTTCGAATCAAACGCAGGAAAGGATCAGGAATTAAAAAAAATTCCCACTTTTCCTATACCCAAAAATAGGAAACATCATTTTTGTGGCAAAAAAATGCGATTTTTCTGGGTTCCACGACGCTGACTTTCGCCCCTAATTTTTTATAAAAATATCGAAAATCGATCAAAATATAAAATATTTAAAATCTTAATGTGAAATAACATAAGTTACGTTTTTAGGGCGGCGTCGTGCTCGATCGATACGGCCGAAACTGGAACTACGTGATCAGTCTGGCGACGCATTGGTGAGTTCAGTTTTAGAAAAAGCCTAAATTGTAGATGACACCTTATATAACCCAGTAATCAACTAGAATAAATTAAAAACTAGTATAATATTTAAAGTCGGAAGCTTTTAATTGGAACAAAAAAAAAGAAAAACAGAAAATTAAGCATTTTTCCATTTTATTTTTTATGGAATTTTTTTTATTACGACAAGACGGAACGTTACAAAACTTTATTAATCCCGTGTGGGACTGAAATAGTTATATTTTAACTTTAAATGGTTTTTGCACTATCGGGGAGGAAAAAAAATTTATCTTATGGTCCAATTTTTCAAATAGCAGGAGGAGAAGCATTTCTAAACGTGCGGATTTGCGGCAAAACTTCAGAAATTTTAAAAGAATTTTTGGTATAAAGCACACAAACATTGATGGTCTCCAAATTTTAGTAACGACGTAGGTGATTGAAACAGTGTTTTTCTCAGGAGAAAAACGTATCTTGTATCTTATAAACTCAGACTATCACTTAATGTATTTAAAACCTTAATTTTAGCCTTGCAATGACGTCAACAGTGATCAACCCGCTACTCTACGGCCTTCTCAACCCCGAATTCTTCTCCATCATCAAGAAAACGTGTTCCGACTTTAAGCTAAACCTTCGAAAAATGTCGTCCAAGAAGTTTCTAGAGTGGCAGAGCAGCAATAGCACTTTTATTTGAGACTTTCTACCTTCTTTTCTGTGTTTTATCGATGCAAAATCGCTATTTTTACGCCTATTTTTCTGACTATACTTCTTATTAAGCTGTATTACGCTCAAAAATCATTATTCCGGTGTTGTATGGGTTCTGCTAAGACGGGTGCGAATAAACGTTTCAAAAAAGTGGGACCTAATAAAAATTAACGAAAAACCAATACGAACGCGGTTCGATTTCGCATAAAACGCATGGTTTTCATCAAAATCATACAAATTTCATTTATATGGATTCTGCCAATAACTGTTAAAAAATGCTGGCAGGATGAAAAATAAAGACAAACAATAGCTTCGTTTCTCACCACCAAAAGTATGCTTCGCTTCAAAATTATAAAAATTGCCGCTTAGATGAGTCTTGCCAATCAATGTTTCAAAAAATACTCTTTCTAAAATTATTAAATTATAATTAAGATCAGGTTTTCCTTTATAGAGGTCATTTATCAAAGAAATATTTATCTAGTTTTTTATTGAATTCCTTTTGGTTTATTTTGATTGCTTTATTTATCTATTTTCTTTTTTCTAGCTCTTCTTCTCCCTTTTTGCAAGCGTGCATTTGGGCGGGAAACGCGCGCGTTCGAACCCCCACCCTCTATTCTCAGTTTCCCCGTCTTTTCAGACCTTCAGCTCCCAAAAACAAGAAAGAAAAGCCGAAATAAGTGCAAATCTACCCCTACAACAATGAAGAACCTTCTCGTTGGCGTGGACGAGCAAATAATGTAAGTTTTTGTGAGATTTTTACGTATTTCGACGTCTATGCGTATTTTTAGTTAGTTTTTATGTATTTTTCAGGCAAATCACCGCCTACTTCACCGATTTCCACGCGGGCGAGAGCGGCGATTCGATGATCGTGTGCGGGCCGCCGAAGAGTGGACGTCGTTCGGCGATTACACAGGTTTTTAGACATTTTTGGCTTTGAAAAATGATGATGATGAAGTTTTAGCGATGTGGCATAGTTTATTCGATAGAGCTTAAAATTCTGAACCAGTAGGATCTTAAAAAATTGCTGAACGACAACGATTTTTGCAGAAAAACGTTGTACAAAGTTTAAACTGAGCAAATGCGCTACTTTAAAGCGATTTATCTCCAAAAATCGTTATAGCTCAGCCGTTTTTAGGAGTTGCGGCCTGTTCAGAATTTTAAGCGCTATCGAATGAGCTATTTCACATAGCAAAACTCTAAATTTACTAAAACCTTGTCAACAACCAATTTTTTTCAGGCCTGGGAAGAAGCCAGCCAATCGTGCTCCAAGCTGAAGCTCCAGTTCATCGATGGCCACGAGGCGGACATGCGCAACAACACCGAATTCCTGAGTCGTATCGACGACGCGAAGAAGGCCGCCAAAAATAAGGTCATCTTGGTGGTTAGAGGTTGGTAAAGGCTCTTAACTTTTCATTTCCCGCTTCTAGGCGCTGACGCGCTCGTGAAATCGAACGAAAGCCTCCTGTACGCGCTGCTCGACCTCAGCCGCTCGGGGCGCAATTTCTTCATCGTGCTCGTCGTCTGCCACCAGGATTTCGTCATGAGCGTCGAGAAGCGCATCCGGTCGCGCCTTTCGTCGAAGAAGGTCAACTTCCCGGGGAGGCAACAAGCGTTGCAGGAGTTTTTGAAGAACTACGAGAAGGTAGTAACTTTTTCTAGTGTTTTTACTTTGTCTTTCCAGCTTCTGGCGGCCGATCCGGTGTTGGGGAAGCTAAAAGCGCTGAAGAGCGACCCGAAAATATTGGCGTTACTTGAGGATTGTCATGTAAAGGTGAGTTTTTGTGCCTTTTGATATTTTTACTGAAGATTTGGCCGTAAAAATCGTAATTTAGGTAGTTTTTAATGCCAAAAAATAAAGGAAAAAAGCTATGTACACTGCCTATGTCTTTCTAGAGCTTCTAACATCCTGATTCCCTTCGAATTTAGGTACTTTCGGACGTTTTTGCCTTGAAAAAACACATGTTTAGCCTAAAAAGCCTAAAGTGAGTGCCTAAAAAGTTTTAAAAGGGGTTATATAGGTTTTATTAAGTTATTTAGCTCTTAGAAGCTTAGTTTTTTTTGCCATTTTGACTGCTTCCAGAGATTTTTTGCAGGAAATTTTAAAAAAGCCGCTATAAAAACCTATTTTTGGCCAGTTTAACGCTGAAAAATGCTATTAAACTGTCTAGATACGGTTTTCTCACTTATTTAAGTTCTTGACTTTTTATAACTAAGTTTCCCGCTTTCAGAACTGCACATCCTTCTATCGCCTCAAACGCGCGCTAGCACTACTCCGAGCGGAAGTACTCGAAAACGAGGACCCAACGCAAAAGGGCCTCATCGCCGCGGCTTGCTACTGGCTGAAGCTGACGAATGGGTGGGATGACGAGCTGCTGCAGCAGTTGGAAGGTAAATTAAGTTCTTATCAAATTTTTTTAGAACAATTGTTAAGGGTTGATGCGTTTGAAAAGAATTTGAAATGAAAATTCCTCGTTTCACCAATTTTTTTTTTGGAAATTTTTAAACGGTTCTTTTGCATTATCGAATGGGGGGGGGGGAGCTTTTTTAGCCAATTACTCAAATAACTTTTTTACAAAGCTTCATTAAAAAAATTCCACAACATAGATTTTTGACCAGATTTCTAATGTTAAAAATTTTTCTAGAAAATATTTTCACTTGAAATATAGTTACATTTTTCTAGAAACCGTATTAAAATACTTATTATTATGGTACTAGACATTTCTGGATCTATGCAAAAATTCTACTCCCCTCCCCCCGATAACACCAAAGCACCGATTAAACTCCTAGAATTTGGGTTTTTTTTTGGTTTGTAATAGAATGTTTCGCTAGCGAAAGAGGGGATTCTTGTGAAGTTTCAAGTAGTTCGAAGTACTTATGGTCTGTTTATTGCCTTGGTGCTATCGTAGACAAAATATACTTATGGACTTACCCATTAAAAATTCCACAAACTTTTTACACATTTTAAGTCCGCTTTTTCACAATTAAAATTATTTTCAACACCAATTTTCAGGTCTCCCGCGCCAGGCTACCGCACTACTGCTGTGTGCTGTCCGGCGGGCAAACGCCAAGGGCTACGAGGCGCCCATCACCTATCAGCGCATTGTCAAAGGTACGTTTACTTAAAAAATCGCTAATTAACAAATTATTAATTTCCTTTTTCTAGATTACCTCCTGATGGCCAACACGGTCAACAACACATTCCGCGACACGTCGGACGGGTTTTTGCGGTACAAGGTTAGGAATTTTGCTTTATTTCTAGCGAAACGGCCGACAAGTCCAAAACCGAAATGCAAAAATACCGTCAAGCTAGAATGCCGACAGCCGACGAGCATAGGCAAAATAGCAAGATTTCGACAACAAAACCCTGACATCCGAAAAGTTGACAACCAATTGCCGACAAAAGGGCCGGCACAGAAAATGCCGACACACCAAAAATCTTGACGCCGATACGCCAAAATTACATGAAAGGAAATGATAAATATAGTGAGCTAAGATTAAAGAAAATCATGTAAATGAGAAAAAATGGTTACTCCAATATGGAGTTTGGCTAAAGAAAGTAAATTAATTGGCCTGTTTCGACCCTTGTCCAAGACAGGCAATTTACACTAGGGTCGGGTCATCCTCAGTTGGAATCCCTAGCGAAGGAAATTAGATAAATTTTGATAGGAAAGGTTTGTTAGATGAAAATTAAAGGTTAATGAAGTATTTGGTTGAGAAGGTTTAACTAGATTGTGGTGGGGAATTTTTGAGTTTCCGCGTGGGGGTAGGTATCATGGGGCAGAGAGAGGGGGCAGAGAAAAGAGATATACATGGCGTAATGGTCTGGCGCGTTTGGTTTAGAAAATGTGTTGATGGTTGAAAGAAGTCGAAAAGTGAATGGAAAATGATAAAGTAAATGGTAAAGTGATAAATTATAGAAAGTGAATATTTTAAATTTATCTAATAGGGTTTATATTCGACTATTTTAGTAAATGAACTATGTTTTTTGGATTGCATTGGTGTTTGAGACTAAGTACCGGGTATTTAGTGAAAATTTTTTTGCAAAGGGCATATATAACTAGCGTAGGGTAACTATTATTTTGTAGATGAGTTAGTAAAAGTTTTATGTGTTTAATTAGATCTTTTTGCTGGGAGCATTTTCGAGCTATTCTGATAATTTCTCCTTCCACGCACCCGTGTTTGATAGAGTAGGAGATGTTTGAGCAATAGTTTGGTAGGCGTGTGACCTTAAATTTATAATCATCTACTTTATTATATAATTCGGTATGTGTTATATTGTTTTGAGTGTAGATTTTTAGGTCTAGAAAATTTCCGCAATCATTTCTAGAGTTTGTTCGTTCTAATGTAAGTTCTTTGGGGTAAATTTCGGATAGATATTTTTCAATATCAATGGAGTTTTTGTAAAGTATAAGTATATCATCCATGTATCTGTATCCTACAATCTTGCTATCAGCTTTTTCTTTGAGATAAATGTATTCATAATACGTTAAAGTTAGGTCTGCTAGCATAGGGCTACAGTTTTGTCCTTGAGGGATACCTTGTTTTTGTTGAAAAAGTAATTGTTTATAGGTTACAAAACTGTTACTTAGTACGTAGTTAACTAGATACATGATTTCGTTTTTTCCAAAGATATTATTACCAAGGTTTTCGTTTGTATAATAGCAAGATTTGTATCCCATTTTTATATATTTCTTTTGAGAGTTTTTAAAACAAATTTCTAGGATACCATCAATGGCTTGGGTCACGATAGAATGTGGAAGATTAGTAAAAAGACTACTAAAATCTGCAATATATATATTATTTTTATCGTGATTCTCTAGCAAATTGACTTGGTTGGAGTTATTTATAGACCAATATACTATTTTGTTCGTATTATTTGCTATTACTGAGCAGTATCGTTGTAAGTGTTGGCGTATAAAGTTAAGGATACGATGTAAAGTAATAGAAATGGGTTTGATTGAGCTATTATATGCACCAGTAATAAATCTGAATTTAATGGGGTGTTTATGGAATTTAGGTAGTCCGTATATTTTGGGTAGGCTTGGCGTCTCTGGTGGGATAATTTTAAATAAAAGATGTGTGTTGATATGCCTTTTAATTATATTTTCTTCGTTCTCAATCGTATATGGTATATAAGTTTCGTTACCATTAGGAAGTCCATTTTGTATTCCCATTTCTTTATCAATAAATTGTTGGTAAAGAAGTGGGCAGATTATTGCAAAGTTAGAAGTTGCTTTATCTACGCTAGTAATTATGAATTTTCTCTGCAATAATCTTATCTCATTCCAGTCTAGCTTAGTAGTCTCTTTATTACTACAATAATTAGTAATTAAATTGATTAAATCACTACTGATTTGTTGAAAATTAACGTTTTTAGCTATTTTAGAGATTTCTTTACCAAATTGTGCAATCATTTTATATTTTACATCTTCTTGAGTGTAATTCAAACTAGGTCGGAACTTAGTGCCTAATTTGAGTATTTCATAGGTGTTTGGGAAGTGTTTAGAAAGTGAATTACTATCGCCCGTAAGCACGTGTGTTTGTCCATTGTGGTTAACACTATTATTTTGATTCTGGAAATCGAAACAATTATTACAGTGAGTAGAATTACGTTTAATATGATTGTTTCCAAGTTTATTGAGAAATTTATTATAGTTAAATAACAATTGACCTAAGGTTGGGTTATATTCATAAGTTATTTGGAAGTCAGTGTTGAATTCTATTTTTGCTTTATTTAGGTATTCTTTAATAATTCTTTTACAATTAATTCGTTCTATACTTGGTTCTAGATAAGGGACTTTTATACGTATTTTAGGATGTTTCTTTTTTGGTTTTACTTGGTTTTCGATTTGACTGTACTTATGGATAGAGGCTTTTGCAAAAGCTTTGACAATTGGGTTATGATGTTCTAAGTAAGGTGTTAATTTTCCGTACATTTTTTTAGGTAAATTGTGTGTAATATTTCTAATTTCGTTAGCTTTAAGTTGTGTTAGTTTGAATTGATTGAAATCAAAATTATAGGATTTAGTCTTACGTTTGTTTTTGCGTATACCTCTGTTACGTGGTGGTGGTTTAATTTTGAGAGCGAAATATGGCGATTGGGTGGATAATTTTCCATTGGGATTAGATATAACTCCGTAACCTTTAATTTTATCATTCAGTCCAAATGGATAGGCAGTATTTAGAAGTTTTATCCAGTATAGTTCTTTGTCTGTACGTATCTGGTTGTCTTGATTTTCTATATGATCATCCAAAATGTGTATATGAAACATATTATCTGTTTGTCCATTAGGAAAATGAGTACGATAGTGATCGTAGATGAATCCGGATTTTCTCTTTTTGATAGAATATTTGTGACCATACATGCGTTGGGTGACTTTTCTAGATGTTTCGCCTACGTATTGTAGATTACAGATTTTGCAAGTAAGACAATATACCACATTTTGTGTTTGACAATTAGGTTGATTATATTGGTTGGTTCTGGTATAATAGTTAGTGGAGTTACTATGTATAATAGCTTCAAATTCTAGATCCTTACAAGTAGTACAATTACTTCTGTTGCATTTTGTACCTATTTTATCACTATATTCTTTATCAATGAAATTCATTTTTCTACCTATTTTGGTTGAACTATGCTCAACAAGCCCATAATAAGAGAGAGAGGGTTTTGAAGTGTTGACACGTCTAAGTATACCAAAGGGGTCCGACGTTAGAATACCCAATGGTTTGGTCGTAATTTGCGCCTCATCAGCGCCGTGCTAGGAAGCATACGATTCCCAGCGGTAAGGCCGAATGAGCAAGGCGGTTATCCAACGACCTAAACGTATGCCGATAACCTCTTGAACCAGATCACCAAACGGCACAGTTAGTAATGATTTGTTAACATAACATCGCTTCTGGGTGAAAATGTAATAATAATTAAAGTTGTAAAATTTATGGCTAAGGTTCATTTGAAGGAATAATTTAAATATATCGGCTTAATCGTTGGTTTAATTTTGTTGTGTTGTACATTGAGATTAGGTATAGAGAAGAAAAGAGCTAGTTAAAAGTGGGCAGGTTTAATAAAAATAGGTAGAGACAAGTGGTGGGTAACTGAAAACTATGATAAAGTAAAGTTTTAGGAGTATATTAAAGAATTTAAGTTTGTTTTGGACTAAGATAAGATAAAAGAGAATATAACGGTAAAAGAATATAGGTGATAAAGATTTTTCTAAAGGAAATGGTTCCTTAGGAACCGAGAGTTTTACCCCGAAGGGCAGAATTTACCCCGAAGGGTAGATTTTACCCCGAAGGGTAGATTTTACCCCGAAGGGCAGTGCTCCGAAGAGCGGTTTAACCCCGAGGGGCGGTGCTCCGAAGAGCGGTTTAACCCCGAAGGGCGGTGCTCCGAAGAGCGGTTTAACCCCGAAGGGCGGTGCTCCGAAGAGCGGTTTAACCCCGAAGGGCGGTGCTCCGAAGAGCGGTTTAACCCCGAAGGGCGGTGCTCCGAAGAGCGGTTTAACCCCGAAGGGCGGTGCTCCGAAGAGCGGTTTAACCCCGAAGGGCGGTGCTCCGAAGAGCGTAAAACCCAGAGGGCGGAGTCCAAAAGGAGACTACAACTGAGAGATTGAGTATGAAAATGTAAAAGGACTGGGTAGAAGACATGATTAAAAGAAAGTATAAAGGAAAAGGAATGTTAGGAAAGTAGAATACACTATGATTATCCCGTCCATGGGTTTCCCCTACGGGTCGGGTAAACATAGGTAACTATAAATGAAAGGAAATGATAAATATAGTGAGCTAAGATTAAAGAAAATCATGTAAATGAGAAAAAATGGTTACTCCAATATGGAGTTTGGCTAAAGAAAGTAAATTAATTGGCCTGTTTCGACCCTTGTCCAAGACAGGCAATTTACACTAGGGTCGGGTCATCCTCAGTTGGAATCCCTAGCGAAGGAAATTAGATAAATTTTGATAGGAAAGGTTTGTTAGATGAAAATTAAAGGTTAATGAAGTATTTGGTTGAGAAGGTTTAACTAGATTGTGGTGGGGAATTTTTGAGTTTCCGCGTGGGGGTAGGTATCATGGGGCAGAGAGAGGGGGCAGAGAAAAGAGATATACATGGCGTAATGGTCTGGCGCGTTTGGTTTAGAAAATGTGTTGATGGTTGAAAGAAGTCGAAAAGTGAATGGAAAAGGATAAAGTAAATGGTAAAGTGATAAATTATAGAAAGTGAATATTTTAAATTTATCTAATAGGGTTTTTATGTTTATGCAGGGCTTTTTTGGCCCGGGGCTTGCCGGCATTTTCGTTCTCACGTTTTTGAATGTCGATATTTCGGCTTTTACTTTTGGCAACTTTGACTGTCGGTGTTTTGAATTTTGTCTAGCTACTGTCGGTTTGGCATTTGGGATATCGCCCTTTGTTTGCCGACATTTTTAGTGGCGTTATTTCCGCTTTCCGAATTTCGATTTGTCGGTATTTTCGGCAATTATTGGTTATATTCGAAGCGTTTTTGATGTTTTTAACTAGAAACAAGTTCAATCAATAAAAACAATAGAAAGGAGACTTTGATAAAATGAATAAAAACATTCTTTTAAGGAGCTCGATCGGCTCAACGAGATGCGCCTCATCATCGTGTGCGACCGAAAGGCGGTGATGCTTCATAACAAGTGAGAAAATACGGGATTTTTCTTGAAATTTGTAATTTGTAGACAGTTCGTGCTGGCCTGCTCGACGGAGACGCTGCTGCAAGAAATTCAGCACCTAGACTTCCCCGCCGACGTCGTCCGCTGGGCCAGCGAGGAGCCGCTAGCCGATTAAATTTCCGGTCGTTTAACCGATTACGCTATTAATTACGGTCAATTAAGTGGCGTAATCAATTGTATTTTTCTAAACTTGCCTTTTTACGTTTTGCAGAATTACGTGTTTCACAATTTCTTCGATCTCGATTACCCGGGTACCCGATAATCAGTTGTCGACTCAATTTTTTTAGGATATCCTGATGTTTCTCTATCCATTTGCCGTATTTTTATTATTTTCGTAGTTTTCCATTTTTTACAATTTCGCCGTTTCCCCGTGAGCGTTGCCTGTATTTTTGGTACTTTGTATATTTGTATTCTCTAAGTTTCTGCCTTTTGGATAAATTGACTGTACAGTATAGATAACTTACAGTTTTCAATAAAGTTGTAGAATTTGGATTGGCATATTTTTATCGTACCTGAAATTATTTCTCATTTTGATGCCGTGATGCTGCGCCAGCTCGTTAGGTGGTTTTTCAGGATTTTTTTAGTAAACTTGAACTGCTCGAAAGCTTTGTGACATCTGGATGTCGAATCTGTTTTGCTGAACTCGTGTAAAAATAGCTTTCATTTGTAGGGGAGGCTAGCAGAGATCGCTTGGGAATTTGCCAATGCCTAGAATAATTTTCGAAAAAATTTGTTTCGTTCAATTGCCTAATCAGGTGGTTTTTGAAAGCATTAATTCAATTATGGATTGGGCTCAAATTTTACTAAAAACAAGCTTTTTTGAAACATCCAATTCTTCTAATATAAACAGAGGAAGTTTTTAAAACCGTTTTTACTAGTCCTCCTATTCCTAAACGTAAAATTTTTCGAAACGTTTATGAAAAAGTACGAAAACACCAAATTTGCAACCAAAAATAGCCGCTTTAAGATGGTTTTTCCACTTAAAACACAGTTAAATTATTCAAAAAAGCTATTAAAATGCTTACGATTTTGTTATTTTGCATGTCTGGATTTGTAAGAAAAAAAATTAGCTTCGAAGTCCGATAGGGTCAAAAAAGCCAAAAATTCATTTGAAAAAGAATGTTTTATCGAATTGCCGAGTCTGCACAATTTCTTACTACCTTTACTTCCTCTCTCTTGACGTGATTATTGTTGGATACAATAAATTAAAATGTAATGATGATGATTTAAAATGTTAGTATGAAATTTTGGAACATTTTTCGAGTTTTAAGTAGGGCATTATTTATTTCATGTGTTTTTCTCTCGATTTGCCGTGGTTTTACCAGCTGGAACTCGTCATCATTTGCGGGGGGAACGCGACGAAAAGCACGGAGACTACAACCAGCACAAAACGCGGCACACGAAAAGCACGGGTTGCCGGGGGAAAAAGCCCTGAATTTCCCCACGTTTTCGCAGAGAATTTATCATCATCTCATCCCACATTTTCCATATTCTTGAATTTAAAGCTTTGAAAAATGGTATCGTTTGTTTAAAAAGTAGTTATCGCAATACAATCCTGAACAATACTAGGCAATTAAAAGATTTAAATTGCCTTAAAATATAGTAAAACAGTCAAATTACAGCATTTTAGATTTACACACTTTTACTTTTAGATTTTTACAGTAAAAATCTCTAAAATCCTTTGGTTTTCTCACCAAATTCTTCACTGGTAGGCTATTCAATATACCTATTAGAATTTTAATTGCTGAAAACAATTGTATATTGAAGATTTTTTATAAATAGTTAATTAAGAAAATTTGCGAAATTCAGCATTCCTTGAAGCAAAGAATAAATTACCTATCACTTAATTTTTTTGTGAGGTGTGTTTTCCGAAACATTAATTTCTCGAATTCAAAATTTTTTGGCAATCCAATTTATCTAAAAACCAGCGCCCAAAACCCGCTTCGCGGGCCTTGGGCGCTGGAATGCGGTTTTTGCATGATGAATTTGACTTTCCGATCACTCGGGTCTAGGGTTGTTATATGACTTGAGTCGCCACCGACTTGCGTCGGCGAAAATGCAAATGACTTGAGTCGGCAACGACGCGCATCGGAAAAATTATGAGTCGGAAGGGACGGATTGAAATGTTAACGATTCAATTCGCAAACGACGCTAGTCGCGAAACGACTTGAGTCGGAATGGAAATCAGTCGGATAGAACGACTTGAAATCGCGACGACGCAAGTCGCCGACGACTCAAGTCGTTTGCGTTTTCAAGTCGTCGGAAGTGGATTTATGCAAATATATGTTCATGGAAATAATTTTGATCGATCAACTATATTCTATTCTGTACAGAGAGACAACGACGCACCACTCTTTGCGCTTACGACAGGAAAAGAGATCAGGCCCCACGGGGCTCCCGGCCACATCCTCGTCCCACAAATAGATGTCCCAAAACTGTTTATTTAGGCAATAAAGGACGTAAAAGAAGATCCGGAAATAAATTATTCGTAGGCGTTGGTCAGGTATGACAGAGCTAAGTAATTTCGGCCGTCTGATTCCAGCTTTGGCAACCGAAAAGACGTTGATTTGCATAAGAACCTAGAAACGAAAATAAGGGTTAAAAATTCATACAATCTTCATTAGCCGGTTCCCCAGGATGGTCGGCAAGTGCCGGACGGGGAAAAAAGGTTCGTTTGCACTTGATTTGCCAATCGTTTTCCAGTGGCAAAAGGCGGGATGCCACCAGGAAAGCGACAAGCCAAAGAAGCGGGTTCATCGGGCAAGACGACTGGTAGCAGCACAGAGCAAAGCCAACAACCGGACGAGCTACGCGCGATTCGGGCTTTATGTGAAGATGAAGACCTGTTTTTGACGCAGGAGGAGGCGCTCGACTTGGAGAGCTCGAGCAAAGAAGGAGAGAATGCCCTCAATGAGGCCAGCGAAGCAACGTATCTGTCGGCGCCTAAAACCAAGGTGGATTGCCTCTTTATTTGGAATGAATTTTGTATATTTAGACGAGTCTAATATGGAAGTACTTCGTACAAATACTTGAAGGCACCAAAATCGAATGCCGAGCGTGTGGCATCCAGTACAAGTACTATGGTTCCACAAGCAGCGCTATGGCCCACCTGAAAGAAAAGCACGGGTTTCAAGAGGTATTTTCCGGATCTAACCCACGAAAAAATTCAGATATCGGTGATGAAAAGAGAAGCAACAGAAAAGACGGAATCCGGGAAATACGATGCGCCTTATCAGGTTGAAAGGATCACTGATATAGTTAATGAAAATTTTAGCTGCAATGTGATGAGAAGATTGTGGCGCTAGTCGCCGAAGGATATTTGTCAATGAACCTGCTGTCCACTCTGGCGATGAAGTAATGCCGCGCTTTTCGAGGAATTAACCGTTTTTTTTTTTTATTTCAGAGAACTTCTACATACCCTTTCCAAGGGAAAATATGTCGGCATGACGCGTCAACGATTCGCCTCATCCGCTTTGCCGAGGGTTTTTGAGGAGCATTTGGTAAAAGTGGTGCATTATTACTTTATGTGCTCTAGGCTGGTCTGAAAAGTCAACTGACAGGCGAGTACTTCTTTTCCATAACCAGCGACGGTTGGTCCACCGCGAGTCAGCACATTGCTTTACAAACGTAGGTCATCGCCTGATATTTTCCTAACTTCTTGTAGGTACTTCGTCCATTTTGTTGACGACAATTTTTGTCGCGTTAATGAATTGATCGCCGTTACCGATACGACGAAGAAGCAGCATACGGCCGCAGGTCTTTCTGAGGTTCCACATGGTTAAATATAACATTACTAATTAATTTAGGTTGCGAAAAACGCATTGGAGCGGGTTGGTTTGTGCGGCCAACGGTGTTTTGGCTTTACCACCGACTCAGCCAGGAAGGAAGCAGCCTCGGTCAAGCAGTATTTTGTCAAGCAAGACAATAGGTTCAACGGAGTTCGCGATCCCAACATTTTTTTAGTCTCGGGGTCTGGAACCCATGCATTTGCCACCTATTGAACTTGATTGTACAAGCTGCTTGTGCCATCCCGGAGATCAAGACGGAGATCGATCGCGTCCGGCGGATTATGGCATCGATCCGAAGCTCCTCAGTTTTACGGAAGGAATTTGAAAAGTAAGTCATTTATCCGGTTAAATAAAGGAATTTAGTGCCCAACTTGCGGTGAATTTGCGACCGCCTCGGCGCGCTGTGCTTGATGTAAAGACACGCTGGAATACCACCGTCGAGATGTTACGGTTTTACCTGTCAAGAGTAGGTTGAATCGGCATGAAAAATCGTCTACTTGTTTAGCTTACGGCGCTCCGGTACATGCACGCATCGGGTGGAACCTTCCATTTCGACGAAGGGGCGTCAGAGGAGCTCACAAATATCTCGAAAATGCTTTCCCCATTCGAATTGTTCACAAAATTGGTGAGTGTCTGGCCTCCAATCTATACAATACTCAGCTCTCTCGTTCCGATTCTACAATTTCGCAGTGCTTGCCGGCGCTCGCTGCTCCTCGGAAAGGGCTAAATGCGTGCCAGCATCCAAAGAAGACGTTGGCAGCCAAATGCCAAGCGATTTTGCTTGGTGAAACCAATCGCCGCTACGAGGTGAATCCCCCCTCCCCAACGTATCACCTGTTCAGGAACTACGAAAAACTCCCAGTCTACGGGCCGCCGTTGCCTTAGACCCGCTCTATGCGTTTGGAATTGGGTTATTTACCCAGTCAGAACAAAACGAGCACCGCGAAGCATTGTACGAATGCATGACAGGTATTTATTTTCTATATCTTCTTTTGTACCACAACGTAGGTCAAAATCTATTCCATGTGATCGAAACCGAAGCCGGAGGATCGGATGCGCCGGTGGCTAAGCGATCGCGGCCTGCGACGCCAGTAAACTGAAGCCATTAGTATATTAGCCCGATTTTTGCAGAAGGTCAGCAGCAACCCGTTCGATTTTCTATTCGCATCTAATGTGGAGAATCTAGCCGAACGAGCTGAGGATGATGACCCGAAAGAACAATTTGAAGTAGGTTGTCCCAATAATGCCAGACCAACTTTTCGGTTCAGAAGGAAATTGCCTCATTCCGCCAAGAATTGCTGTCGGAAGTTGTACCATCGATTGCTGACAGTGGTGGCTATGCGCTGAAGTTTTGGCGTCAAATGCGTCATCAATGCCCTAAACTCTATCAGTCGGTTCTAAAAGATTTCGGTAACTCCTCCGCGTACCTTTGCAGAACAGCCAAACGAATCTTCTCCCTTCCCGCCAGTTCCGTTGAGTGTGAGCGCCTGTTTTCGCGTGCGGGCATGATCTACTCCAACCGATTGCGTACTCTGCTGAAGGGTGAACGAGCCGAGCAATTGCTCATATTGTCTTATCGTCGGGTTCGGCAGGAAATCGCAAACCTACGGTAAAAAAGAAGGGAACCAGGAAAGCATTAACTTATCTTTAGCACCCTTCAATCATCGCTTGAATTCCCTGCCCTTGATGAGATTGAGGCAGAGGATATGGCGATTGAAAGCATCAGATCTGAGGTTGTTGCTCCTTGCAAATCTCAGAGCGTCCTTTCACCCCATCAAGCACATTTTCAGGATCCCGATCTTTTTGCGGAAGTCCTCGCTACGTTGGATGATGACGACCCCTACCTGACCAACGCCTACGAATAATTTATTTCCGGATCTTCTTTTACGTCCTTTATTGCCTAAATAAACAGTTTTGGGACATCTATTTGTGGGACGAGGATGTGGCCGGGAGCCCCGTGGGGCCTGATCTCTTTTCCTGTCGTAAGCGCAAAGAGTGGTGCGTCGTTGTCTCTCTGTACAGAATAGAATATAGTTGATCGATCAAAATTATTTCCATGAACATATATTTGCATAAATCCACTTCCGACGACTTGAAAACGCAAACGACTTGAGTCGTCGGCGACTTGAGTCGTCCCGATTTCAAGTCGTTCCATCCGACTAATTTCCATTCCGACTCAAGTCGTTTGGCGACTCACGTCGGGTGGCGATTTGAATCGCGCCGATTTTAAATCGCAACCCACGGTTTTAAAAGCATACGATTCAGTTCGTCAGTCGACTCCAGTCGTTTGCGAATTGAATCGACAACATTTCAATCCGTCCCTTCCGATTCATAATTTTTCCGACGCAAGTCGGTGCCGACTCAAGTCATATAACAACCCTACTCGGGTCCTTCGGACCCCTTTCCCTGTCCCGACCACACGCGCGAGTGCAACTGGCAAGAATGAGGAAATTTGTATTTTTTCACCTTATGCAAATTAGCCCGCCCGGATCCCTAAAAATCAATAAAACCGGCTCTAACTTTGTAAACTTGTATTTTATCGGGATTCTGAAAACGCCATCGGAAAGAGGAGGGTCGATTCCCCCGGGTGACGAAGAATTAGGGCGTTTTGGACACGGGAAGGCCCTCAAATCGAGCCTCGAAACTGACCTCCGCACACACACACAGACAAAGATACGCGACCAAATTATATAAGGTAGGATCCCTGAAATTTATTTAAAATTTATTAAAATTTAGTAATTAAGTGGCAAAAAGTCTATAGAATTTCGCAACACTTTTGCTTCTGAAATAGAATGTTTCACACATCGCAATAGAGAGCAAATTTTGGTCTTATTTTACATCTTTTCCATCGTTTGAAATTCTAAATTGTGCCGCAAAATAGAGCTCTAAACCATGTTATTATTTCCGGAAAAAACCCCCGTCCACAGGGAAGGTGGGCTGTTTACGCATCGTGCGCGGGGTTCGCCCGGACGTCTTTTCCTATGATGTTGTTTCTATCTCTCTCATTCTCTCTCACTCTCTCGCTCTCTCTCTCATCTAGTGCTTCTCCCACACCTCTTCGCATAGATTTTTGCAAAAATGGCTGCCCCATTTCGCGGTCATCGCGATTAATCTTGCGATTTCCCAAGTGATCTCTGCTAGCCTGCCCTCTCCTCGTCCTCAACAATCTCTGCTAGTCTGCCCACTCCTCTTCCTCAACAATCTCTGCTAGCCTGCCCTCTCCTCTACCTCAACAATCCCTGCTAGCCTGCCCTCTCCTCTACCTCAACAATCCCTGCTAGCCTGCCCTCTCCTCTACCTCAACAATCCCTGCTAGCCTGCCCTCTCCCTCTACCTCAACAATCCCTGCTAGCCTGCCCTCTCCTCTTGCTCAACAATCTCTGCTAGCCTGCCCTCTCCTCTTCCTCAACAATCTCTGCTAGCCTGCCCTCTCCTCTTCCTCAACAATCTCTGCTAGCCTGCCCTCTCCTCTACCTCAACAATCCCTGCTAGCCTGCCCTCTCCTCTACCTCAACAATCCCTGCTAGCCTGCCCTCTCCTCTTCCTCAACAATCTCTGCTAGCCTGCCCTCTCCTCTTCCTCAACAATCTCTGCTAGCCTGCCCTCTCCTCTTCCTCAACAATCTCTGCTAGCCTGCCCTCTCCTCTTCCTCAACAATCTCTGCTAGCCTGCCCTTTCCTCTTCCTCAGCAATCTCTGCTAGTTTACCCCAGGAATTTCCACAAACCAGAAAAATGTTTCAAACCTTTTTGAAATGCCGGGTTTTTGATTTACGAGATTCAACCGCAGCTTTCGATTACAAAAATTATTCAATTTAAAAACTTTAGTTTTAAACATTATTATTGCTGATTCTAGTTTTTAAAGTCTTCGTTTCCAGACGCTTCCTAATGCCGGCCCAAAAATTGGCCGACCGCAACGCATTCACCATCGACACCGGCAATCTGTCGAAGCACATCGAGGTGCCGCCCTTGTTTTAATTTTAAATTTTATCAATTCTAATTGACCTTGAATTTAATTAAGATTTAGAATTGTCTGCATTAATAAATTATACCATTTAGCTGATGCTGAAACGGCACGTCAACTCCTCCTCCGAGCTGACGGCCGCCTTCGCCAAGTTCGCCAAGGACCGAGACGTGAATCAGAATCAGCTAGATTTTAGGTAAGGTTCTAGGTTTTTAGCGTTATTTGAGTTTGTCGTTTAAATTGGATTCTTTAAAATTTCAAACATTTTTTCATAAAGTGCAAAAAACATGTTTCAACATTTTTCAAAAACCCTGGATTTTTGAGACTTGCCATTGAACAGGTCGCCAAAAATTCGTTTTGAAAAATTGCAAAATTAGCGCTAGGGGTATATGGCTGATTCAAATGTTGATTATTCCAGCTCCGACCCGATCGCCCTCTCGAGCGGCGACCTCGGCGAGTTCAGCAAGTCTTCGGATATTAAGACGACGCTCAAGGTTTGCTATTTTGATTTTTTCGTCCTGAAATTTAGAAAAACCGTGTTCTACCATATTGTAGTTTAGCTTGAGGAGATCAAAAAATTTCAAAAACCTAAAAATTTCTGAAAAGAAATGTTTCATATAAACCCCACAAAAATAACGTATCACCTAGCTTAATAGTTGTTTGAGTTACCTCGCGAATTTTCAGCTTTTCCTGCCCACATTTTCGCCGGAATACGCGGCGACGGCCGTCCGGATGGCATTGGAGCATTTGGAGCTCTCTTCGCTGTTTCAAGTCATCCTCCAATTCCCCGAGGCACAGGACGAAATGGTCAGCTAGCAGAGATTGTTGAGGAAGAGGAGAGGGCAGGCTAGCAGAGATTGTTGAGGGAGAGGAGGGGGCAGGCTAGCAGAGATTGTTGAGGAAGAGGAGAGGGCAGGCTAGCAGAGATTGTTGAGGAAGGGGTGAGGGCAGGCTAGCAGAGATTGTTGAGGAAGAGGAGAGGGCAGGCTAGCAGAGATTGTTGAGGAAGAGGAGAGGGCAGGCTAGCAGAGATTGTTGAGGAAGAGGAGAGGGCAGGCTAGCAGAGATTGTTGAGGAAGAGGAGAGGGCAGGCTAGCAGAGATTGTTGAGGAAAAGGAGAGGGCAGGCTAGCAGACATTGTTGAGGAAGAGGAGAGGGCAGGCTAGCAGAGATTGTTGAGGAAGAGGAGAGGGCAGGCTAGCAGAGATTGTTGAGGAAGAGGAGAGGGCAGGCTAGCAGAGATTGTTGAGGAAAAGGAGAGGGCAGGCTAGCAGACATTGTTGAGGAAGAGGAGAGGGCAGGCTAGCAGAGATTGTTGAGGAAGAGGAGAGGGCAGGCTAGCAGAGATTGTTGAGGAAGAGGAGAGGGCAGGCTAGAAGAGATTGTTGAGGAAGAGGAGAGGGCAGGCTAGCAGAGATTGTTGAGGAAGAGGAGAGGGCAGGCTAGCAGAGATTGTTGAGGAAGAGGAGAGGGCAGGCTAGCAGAGATTGTTGAGGGAGAGGAGGGGGCAGGCTAGCAGAGATTGTTGAGGAAGAGGAGAGGGCAGGCTAGCAGAGATTGTTGAGGAAGGGGGTGAGGGCAGGCTAGCAGAGATTGTTGAGGAAGAGGAGAGGGGCAGGCTAGCAGAGATTGTTGAGGAAGAGGAGAGGGCAGGCTAGCAGAGATTGTTGAGGAAGAGGAGAGGGCAGGCTAGCAGAGATTGTTGAGGAAGAGGAGAGGGCAGGCTAGCAGAGATTGTTGAGGAAAAGGAGAGGGCAGGCTAGCAGACATTGTTGAGGAAGAGGAGAGGGCAGGCTAGCAGAGATTGTTGAGGAAGAGGAGAGGGCAGGCTAGCAGAGATTGTTGAGGGAAGAGGAGAGGGCAGGCTAGAAGAGATTGTTGAGGAAGAGGAGAGGGCAGGCTAGCAGAGATTGTTGAGGAAAAGGAGAGGGCAGGCTAGCAGACATTGTTGAGGAAGAGGAGAGGGCAGGCTAGCAGAGATTGTTGAGGAAGAGGAGAGGGCAGGCTAGCAGAGATTGTTGAGGAAGAGGAGAGGGCAGGCTAGAAGAGATTGTTGAGGAAGAGGAGAGGGCAGGCTAGCAGAGATTGTTGAGGAAAAGGAGAGGGCAGGCTAGCAGACATTGTTGAGGAAGAGGAGAGGGCAGGCTAGCAGAGATTGTTGAGGAAGAGGAGAGGGCAGGCTAGCAGAGATTGTTGAGGAAGAGGAGAGGGCAGGCTAGAAGAGATTGTTGAGGAAGAGGAGATGGAAGGTTAGCAGAGATTATTTGAGTTTTTTCAGGACGACCCGACGTGGTTGGCCGCCGTCCTCGGCGTGTGGCAGCCGCTGGAGAAGCTCGTCGACGCCGGCAAGGTCGGGTTTTACAGGGGAGCAGGAGAGTAGCCAGGCAATTTTGAGTGGCAGCGACTTTTATTGAAATTAAAACGACGTCAATTAAAAAATTACAAGTATCCCTGGTCTTAAAGGTTTTTTGAAGCACAAAAAATAATAGGTGTTTCTTCCAGATCCTGTACCTCGGCGTGTCGGACATTGATCTGGAGCGGTTGCGTATGCTGTGCGAGGCGGCCAACGAACCCCCGAAAATCGAGCACTACAGCATTGATGGGTGTTGTACGGTGGGAGAATTGTGTTTTAGATATTTTAATTTAATAATTTCTTTAAAAAGTTATTTCCTTGATTTTTGATGATTCACTTTGAAAATTATTTTTTACAACTTCGTAATTTCTCTGAATCACAATTTTTTAGTCGGAAAATTTTGTAATTATCTGTTTCTGTAATCTCCTTTAATAACAAAGTTTATTATAAAATAACAATGGATAAATATCGGAGAATCAGAAAAATGACATATCAGCTCTTGTCTTTATTGCGAAATTAATATTCGATTTTGTCGATTTTTATTTAA